CCTCTGCTCTTCCCCTCACCCGTTTCAGCTCTGGCAAGACAGGTCACACCTCCTCAGTGTCTTCTTCCACAGGAAAAACTTCCTAAGTCGGTGCGGGTGTTCAAGGATGGGCTGGAAGTGCACATGGCAGGCATGTCGTGAGCGGAGCCAGCTGGAGCCGGAGGTCAGACTAGAAGGCCCGGGAGGCCCCTTCTGACTCGCTCTGTTTCTATGTTTTCCCAGCATGAAAGTTCAGGGATTCGGTAAGACTTGTCATTTAAGGTTTTCCAAGAAAAACACAGTAAGTGCTGTCACAAAAGTAAATGACACCACAAGGTTTGGGTCCCCCCTGTATTGAGTAAGATGCACACTATCTTTGTGCATCGGAAGTGACCTCTTTAGCTTCAGAGTCAGACTGCAGATCTGACAGCAGCCTCTAGCAGAAAAAGAGAATTCTGGGCATAACACACTGACTTGAAGCAAAAGGGAATGGAGCTAGATCTATTGTACTGTCCTGCACCACCCGAGTAGCTGGGACCTGATATAATGAAAACACTGCGAAGATGACCGCAGAAGCCTTCCTTCTGCACTTCCACAGAAACATTTGGTCTAAAGAAATCAGTTCTTTAGAAGACTTCTCCAGGGACCCAAGGAAGAGCTGTAACCTGCTTATGCAGACACTCCAGATTCCATCCTGAAGCTCATTATAACTTGAGTTTATGTATAACCTGAGCTTAACCTGCGTCAGGTCACAGACTTTTTCTTCTCTTTTCACATGAGCACCAGTGCATTTTCCCCAAAGGCTGGCTTCAGTTGTGCACATCTTGCAAGTACATGCATTCTTCTTCTGTTAGCTAAAGCATGTTTTGGTGCATTTGTTTGAAAAGAATACATTTTGCAGGGACACTTTTCAAATGTACACTTTTATTTGGTCCACAAATCATATTTCACATTCAGAAAAGTACAGGCTTTCAATGACTGATTGCATCCAAGTCTATGTTTGGATTGGAAGATTCAAAATGGATGAGTCCTGACCAAAAATGGGCTGAAATGGATTTCTCAAGCATCCCTGTGCAGAGCAACCAGCATTAGGGTTGCAGGCTAGTAGGATCACCAAAGGGACCAAAGTGATCCTGTGAGTCCCAGAGCTGAGGGAGTGACCTTTGGCCATGCTGGTGAGCAATTATAGGTGGTGAAGTCTGACCTCTGGATGGCATTAGCTAGTGAAAGCTCAAGTGAAACATCTTTCCAAATACACTTGGCATTGTGCTTAGCTAGAGATGCTGGAGCCAACTGAAGCTCTTCTGTGCCCAAGAAAATGAAGCAATTTTTGTTCTGTGACTAGACATATTTCCAAAGTACCCCAGTTTGTCAGAGCATCTAATTTCAGAACAGTGAGTAATCAAGTCTGGTCCACACAGGGCCAAAATGAGACTCCACATTTCTTGCAAACAACCTTCCTTAACAGTCTGATGATTCCCCTTCCCACAAAAATCCCACTGATTTGAACCGTGCCCGTCTGCAGTCTCAGCTCTTAGTCCAAAAACTGACTTTCTCAAAATGTGTCATTAATCATTCTTCAGTGTGGCCACTGGTCAATGCTTTCCATAACCGATGAACACAGCCCTGCAATAGGCACCCCCCCACCCTGCTTTCTCTCCTCCACTCCTGTACATGGAATACAAAGCCACTGCTGAGTCAACGTGACACCCGCTTCTGAAACTGCTAGCGAGTTTCTGTCTCAGCATTAGCGCCTTCCACCCTGCCTATCCCAGCCATGAACTCTGCCAAAGCTCACACTCATTCAATGCATGACTTTCCTTCCCAACTGCTGAATTAGTGCAGGCAAACAGAATCCATGGGAACCTGCACAATGGAATGAAACCTTTCTTCCTGTGCACCTTTCTTCCCAGCAGCTCATCTGCCTGTGATGTCTTTATTTTTGGTGCTGCTTCTTGTGAACCTCTGCAGCATTTTGTTGCAAGGTGTCTCTCATGCTCAGGCTGGGGCCTTCTTGCCATGAGTCCAAGACCATTGCCAAAGATTTTGCTCCTCTCTCCCCTCCCACCTGCCCCGGATCAGGCCAAGGGCTGCGAGCATTTGGGTCGTGTGCTAAGCTGAGGATTCCTTGACCTCTGGCCCTTTGCACCCATTCACACCTCCTGCAGCTCTGCAGCAGTCCCGGCAAGAGTGTTGAGTTCAGAGCAGCATCTGTAAACAACTCAGCCGTTTCTGCCGGAGCTCTTTTAGCGCGTTGCCTCCTCCACTCGGCTGCGCTGGTGCTGGAGGCTGGGAAAGGCACCCGCCAGCCGGCAGAGGGTCAGCAGCTGTGGGTGCTCTGTTGGAGCTGCTGGCCACAAGCCGCCCTCTGTCGGTTCCCCGCATTTCTGGAGCAAGAGGCTGCAGAGGGTGAAGCAGGGCGGCTAAGAAGACTTGTCCCAAGGGGACTTCCAAGATGGAGTCTCTACCCAGTGCTGGTGCAGGCACTTTGATAGGGGCACACGACAGAGTAAGGAGAGCTTTGGACTTAAGGCAGGGCTTCCCTGATCTTATTAGGACACCGGGTTGCCAGTCTTGCTGTCCAGGACAGGTGCTCTCCAGGAATGCCCTCTTAGGTACGCCTGTCCTGAAAGGCCTTCCTCTTGCATTGTCTTACTCCATTCATCCCTTTTAATTGTGCTCTCATGTGCCTCCCGCAAACTGCCTAAATGGTTTCCCCTCTCCAAAGTGTGCGCATAATTAATAGGCTATAAAAGGCTATAGGGTACAGACTTCATCTTGCTCATCCCTTTTGGGGGCTGCCTACATGCCGCAAGGATTCCCATTTTTCCTGTGTTTTTTTCTTGTCTTAAGCCCACACAAGCCTTGGGAAGTTGAGGGCTTTTCCTGAGAATTGCATTCGTGCGCTCATGCACATGCAGGGGTGCAAAGGAGCCACATTCAGTCACTGCACGCAGAGCAAAACCTTGCCTCCGCCTGGGGGCCGGGAGAGAATGGCCCCCTGCAGCACCTCCTCCTCTGCCCAGGGCCAAGGTCACTGGGGGAAGGGAAGGTCCGACTTCCACAAGATGAGGGTAAAGGACAAAACCAAAATACTGCATATACCAGCATATAAGGCAGCTCGCATTTAAGACAAGGTCGATATTTCAGGCAGTTTTTCTAACATTTGAAATACGTTGGCCGTATAAGCCGACCTCCAATTTTTACTTTGCCATTTCCAGTTTCAAGGGTCATCTTATACAGCAATATATTAGGGCATTTGCCAGCAGCCACATTTTCTAGCCAGCAGTCACTTTACCCCTCCAATTTCACTCAAGCTCAGACATGTCCCCTGTATATCTTGGTTTGTGTCTGTGTGATCTGCATTTAGGGAAAGTTTTGTACAGTGATTCAGTGCCTTGACCCTAAGCGATGGACTGCCACAGAAGAAGAAAATATGATCCTTGCGTTGTTTATTCATGTGTTTGTTTATTTGATCCCTGGGCCTCGGTAGCTGAAACTGTCTGAGCGGTTTACAACAACTTCTAAAAGCACAGTCAGAGGCTGGCTGCAGCCTCAGGTCTCGTTTTAAGTGAAAGGTTATTCAAATTACAAAAGAGATAATCATAATGTAGATTTGATGTTACAGAGAATATGGTATGAGACCAGAAGAAGAAGGAAGGGAAACTAAGGGAAAAAATTCACCTGGCAATAAGATGACGCCCAATTTTTGCTTTGCTATTTTTGCTTTCAACTGTGGTCTTATATGCCAGTACATACCAGTACTGTAAATCCTGTCTCTTTTGCTTTTGTTCTCTTCTTCTCAACCATGATCCACTTGTATGGTGAAAGCCAGAGGAATACCCTTTGGATGACAGATTCCAGAAGCCAGATTCACAGATGTCTGCATAGCCCCAACAAAAATTCAGGTTACTCTCTGATGTAGGCAACAAACAACGCAAGCGTTTTGGTTTGCTATTACAGTTGTGTCCCACCTATCTTCCTTTAGAAGCCCAAAGCATCCTCCTCTCTTTTTAGCTTCACAACAGTCCTGTAAGGTAGGCTACACCAAGAAACAGTAACCAGTCCAGACAGTAACTGGTCCGAAGTCACCCAGTGCACTGCTTCCTGGCCGAGAGCAGACTCCAATATGGACCTCCCCGGTCTCGGATCAGTGAACCCCCCTGGCTCTCAGGCTTTCCCCCTCAGCTTAACTCTGACCAGGGCTGGCTTTGCAGAAAAAGAAAGCTGGTAGAGTTAGGACCAGCTGCAGAGCTGTGCCCAGCTTTTCACAGTTATGGCTCTTCCTGCCAGATAGCTCTGATTTGGAATGTGAGGCAAGCAGGGCAGGGAGGGAAGGGCTGCTAAGGCGGACAAGTGAGATTAGTCAAGCAGGGACCAAGACTGAAACTGTCTAGGGTGGCAGCTGGGCGGGGGCGGGGGAGGGGAGGGGGAATCGCATGACGGTTGGAGTGGGCAGAACTGGGAATTCCTTCGACCCAGTGAGGCCGGATCGGGCCGATTGGCAGGCCAGCTTAGCTGCACCAGCTCGCCGTGAGCACCCAAGGGGGGAGTCCAGGGAACCTGGGAAGAGGCAGGGAGGAGGGGGCCATTCCAGTTTGGAAGCAGCTCTTCACATGGGCAGAAGCTACTGCCATGGCTCAGAGGGACGGCTACTTTGACTGATGCTGCTTGTTGGCAGCATTCACAGTGAACGCCCTGTGTGACGGCAAAGCCTCTTAAGGACTGTGTTTGACTGGCTTCCCATTTCCGTCTGTTGGAAGGGGAGGGGGGAGGAGCATGCGCATGACAAGCAGGTCTTGTGCTGTGACAGCTTCTAGGAAATACGCTTGGTCCTTAGAGCTCATTTTGTACGTTTGAGCAGCGCAGGAGCGGCAAAATGCTGCACCGCAGCTGCCTTCGTCATGCCCAGGGCAACAGGCGTTGCTTCTGACAACAGTGGAATCCCCGCCCAGAGACTGCTCGCTGCGGTCGGCCTCCAGTCCAAAGAACACTGGCACTTCATTCAGACATACAGGAAATACACATGGCATGCAGGCAGCTCCGAAGGGTCTGTACAAGGTGTTTTTATAGCCTGCAGAGCTTGGAGGAGGGGTGGGGAATCAAGAGGCACATTAGAATAAAACAATGAGGGTTTCAGACAACACAAAGCAAGGAACCTTCAGGACAGGCAAACCATTGGCACCTCTAAGAGTGTTTCTCCAAAGGGCGGCCTCCAAAGACTTGTAAGTAGCTAAAATCATCTTAAGTCTAAAACTGTTCTTACCGCCCTAGTGTGGAAAAGGTTTGCTTATTTTGTCCTGACACTTTCAAATGCTCCAGAGAAAAAGCTGGGTGAGTGGCTCCAGTTTTGGGCGGAGCTCCTCCGAGTCTGTTGTGACAGAGGGAAGTTTTCTAGCTATGGGTGCAACATTTTTGTGCTGTATCCTGTGTATGGCTCTGTGCCATGGCAGCTCTGCCCTGGAGTTCCGCAGGGGACCATTCTGTCCCCCTTGCTGTTTAACATCTACATGAAACTGCTGGGAGAGGTCATCAGGAGGTGTGGGCTGCCGAGTCATCAGTACGCTGATGATGCCCAGCTCTACCTCTCGTTTTCCACCAATCCAGGTGAGGCAGTGGCTGTGCTGAACCGGTGCCTGGCCGAGGGAACGGGCTGGATGAGGGCCAACAAACTGAAGCTCAGTCCAGACAAGACGGAGGTCCTGTTGCTAGGTGGGTCGGGCTTTCGGATGGGGGACCTGGACCTTGTCCTGAACGGGGTTGCAATCCCTCTGAGGGACAGGGTCCGCAGCTTGGGAGTGCTCCTCGACTCAGAGCTTTCACTGGAAGCTCAGGTGACAGCGGTGGCGAGGAGCGCTTTCTTTCAGCTTCGGCTGATCCATCAGCTGCGCCCCTACCTGGAGAATGACTGCCTGGCGACAGTGACACACGCGTTGGTGACTTCCCGACCTGACTTCTGCAACGCACTCTATGTGGGGCTACCCTTAAAGACGGTCTGGATACTTCAATTGGTTCAGAATAGAGCTGCCAGGCTGTTGACGGGGACTGGGCGTGACTTTCACATGACTCCAGTCCTCTGTCAGCTTCACTGGCTTCCCATTGAAGTCCGGGCCCAATTCAAGGTGTTGGTGATGACCTATAAAGCCCTAAACGGCTTGGGTCCGGGCTACCTGAACGAGCGCTTACATCCGTATATGCCCGCCCGCCCCCTGAGATCAGCAGGAGAGGCCCTTCTCCGGGAACCCTCTGTGAAGGAAATTAGGAGGATAGGTATTTGGAGGAGGGCTTTCTCTGCGGTGGCGCCCAATCTATGGAATGCGCTCCCCAGAGAGGTCCGCCTGGTGCCGTCGTTATTTGTTTTTCGGCGCCAGGCGAAGACCTTTTTATTCAAGTGTCATTTTAATTGTTAATGTTATTTTTATTTTAAAGTTTTTTGGCCAGGGTGACTTATTTTATACAGTTATGGGTATTTTATATTGCTATTTATGTATTTTAATTTATTTGTAAGCTGCCTCGAGGCTTCGGCAAATGGGGCAGCCTAGAAATTTTCTAAATAAATAAATACAAAAATAAATAATTTTGCTGTGACTGGAGGGGTTTTTATTCTGATTCTAATGATTCTATTGTTGGGGAATTCAGAATAAATCCTGATAGGAAATGGTTGTTTAGATGGGCCTTTGTGTCATGAAATCAAACCTGCACCCCTTTCTCAGAAAGTAGCAGAATTCCAAGCCAGACTACTGTTTAGCACTGCTGTTACTTTAAGAGATTGGAACTCTGTCACTCACCTGGGAGGCTGCAAGGGAAGATAATCCTCCTCTGTTCTCTTGCAGATCAACAGCAGCTGATAAGGTGGCCAGATAAGGTTTTATTTAGCAGCATTGCAATCACCCTAATTTGCATGATTAAAAACTAAGACTCAATAATCCTTGTTTCCCTGAATCCTTAAGACTGTCTCCTGTAATCAACGCAATTGTCCCCTCTGCAGAGCTCTCACCTGCTTTTCAGTTTCCCCCTTTTTTCATCATCACCTGACTAGTTGCTATGCCATGTGATTCAGGACCCATAAAAACCTCTGCGTATGTTCCAAAAGCTTGTACTTGGTCTGGCCTCTACCCAACAGTGCTATTCTAAGTATGCCTTCTCTGCATAGGGTGCCTGAGTTCAAGGCCACAGGAGGCTTTCCTTACTGACCTCTGTTCTCCTGTCCCACAGCTGCTATCATCTTTCAGATCGTAAAACATAGTACATTTTGTATCTGTTCCCCTTTTCTAAACAAAGAATAATCAGTTCTACCCTGACTACATGTGTTGAGCCTTTTCCTGTGCACTGTGTGTCCCATACTAATTTGCTCCATGGGTCTCATGAAATATGGCCATGGTTGAAGAAGGAACCACGTGAAGAGGGGAAGAGCAAAAGGTCACCCCAGTCAGCATCCCTGGACAGATTTCAGCCCACGCACAAGTTCAGTTAATGCTGTTAACTGATCTAATAGCCAATGGTACAAATTATAAGCCTTATGATTTGCCTTCCAAAGTACAGGTAAAGCGCTCTTGTTACATTTTTGTAAAGCCCTTGGGTTCTCAGTTCAGTGGACAAGCAGGGGTTTCATTTTAAAATCTCCATTTGCGTTCCCTCCAAGCATAATAGTTATGCAGTCTTTTGATATTTTATAGTCAGATGCACTGCTTCATGTTTTGATATAAAAGTTCTAGATGGCATTTTTTTTTCAGGATAGGGTGGTTTCATCTATGTTGAAAATTGCAGTAATTGTATTTATTTTCTGCAGCTCAGCAGGAAATGAAGATGCAGCCATTTCATTGGCACTTTTAAATCTTTTAATTATATCAGGTTTTGCATCTAAAGATATTACTTTCCTTTTCCCTTTTTTGCTTGATGGCCCCATGCTCTGATTCTTTGACATGGTCATGGGATTCTAAAACTTATGATGAATAACAGGGCATTTGTAACCTGGCCGATGTCGCCCTTGCAGGAGCCCCAAGATCACGGTTCAATGGGAGGAACGACGTCATCAAGCTCACGATGGTTCGCGGCAAATTTTAAATGGCGCATTAAAACTGCTGCAAGGGATACCTGTATGTATCATAAGAAGATGCGAATCTAAGAGTCTGCAAGCAGAAAAATGCCTCTGAAGTCTCTTCTGTCAAGGCTAATTGGCAGAAATTAGATTGATTGGACTGAGGGATGCTCCAGCATCAAAATGCCCAGGGAGGCACAGTTCCCCACTGAGACAGGATTACTGTCTTGAAACAGCCAGTGAAGCCTGGGACTCGGCCACAGAGCTGTACGAATCCAGGCAGCACAAAGGTACGCTGACGAGCCTGGCACACACTCACTGACACGGAGGAGAGCCGAGGGTGTTCTGTGAACGTGGCGCGTGAGCGGAAGACGCGCCCGTGGCCAGTGGACTGGAGGAGCACCTGGCTGTGGAGTGGGGCATTGCAGGCCAGCACCATGACCCCGGTTCAGAGGAGAAGCAAGGATCGCCTGCAGCCACCATTTACCATTTTAATGCGCAACCTCTGATCAGGGCCATCCCAGGCCGCAGTGTATTAGATGAACAGTTAATCAAGGGCTCAAGAACCCACCTTTAACCCAGCAGCTAGGGCGGAGCCACACCTGAGTGTCAGAGCTCTGCTCCACCTGCAGAAAGCCCGGGCTTCATCCCTCGGCATCTCCAAGGGGAGCAGCCCTGCCTGAGATGCTGCAGACCTGCTCCGATCCCCGTGTACCATGCAGCCACTGAATATTCCCGCCAGGCAGGACAGCACGTCAAACCACCCCTCTCAGGGGCTGCCCAGTTGCATGTTGAGCGCCCCGCAACCCCCCTGGGTCATGCGCCCCATTGCTGTGCTGCCCCAGTCGTCAGGCGGGTCTCCTGATGTCTACACAGAGCCTGACTCCCTCCCTCCAGCCTAAATCTAGTATTCCACGTCCTGTGCTCTGGAGAAGAAGGTCCTGGGCTTCTTTCCGCTACTTGTTTGTTTGTTAGTTCTACTGCCTTGTTATTTTTAAAGAACTCAGAGTGGCTTACACAATTCTCCTCCTGCTGCTCTCAACCGTATCCCCACGACAACATCCCTGTGAGGTAGGCTGGGCTGAGAGGCTGCGTCTGACCCGAAGTCACCCAGTTGGCTCCGTGGCTGAGTGGAGAGTAGACAAGTCCCGGACCTGCACTCTTAACCACCGCACTGCACTGGCTTTCTCTTCAAGTCCTGGTAGAGTGCTATCCTGCTGCTTCTCTTCTCAAGGCTAAATATGCCCAGTTCCTCATGAAGTTCAACAAACCACTCTGTGCATGCTCAGAGGTCTGTTCTGGGTAATTTGTACTTGGGAGCAGTAAAGACAATTTGCAAGGAAAACAGTTCGTGGCTGGTGATTAATCGAAAGAGGAACTTTGGGCATGACATCTTGAACCCAATCTAAGTGCCCCCCCCCCCACTTTGGGTAAGATTTGAACCTGCCCGTAGCAGGCAGTTGCCCAGGATGCCCCACTCCCCAGGCCAGCTGGGCTATAATCTCTGCCCAGGTCTGCCCTGGTCCAGACTCGGGACCAGCCACTGGATTTGGCACGTGACAACCCAGCACTGGGGGGGAAAGGATTTTATTGAAAGGCTAAAAGATGGGGTGGAGGGTGCTAAAACATCTAAAACACACACGACTTGACGAAGGAGGGAAAGGGGATTTGGAGAGCAGCACAAATACACCCCACCGTTGATTGCAGCCCTGGAGACTCCCAGCCCTTGGCCTCCTCAGCCTCAAGCAGCAAAGCTTTCCTAGCCTAGCGATACATACAGATTCTGCACCAGCCGTAGCGGCCAAGGACACAGGGAGCACAGCATCCTCCCATGCTGTGGACTCTACTCTCGGATGCAAAGCATCCGGCAGCAAGAGCAGAACCTCTCCTCAAAGAGGTACCCTGAACTCTTGCAGGCTGCTCTCTTCTATCTTCCGTCCCCGATCAGATATCTCATGGAGTGACCACGCGCAATAGGTCCCAGGTGAGGACTGTTTACCCTTAATCTCCTGGCCTGTTCTTGGGAGTGCAACTTCTCCTGCCCTTTGACATAATTTACAGTATCTCTGCCGTCGGCATTCCCAGGCCTGGCTTGGCTCCCCGAGGCCTCCGGCACCAGCATCTCCCAGGCAGTCACCTGGCAATTGTACCACTATCATCCTGTTTGTCAAATTTAGTCTTCTGTGACAGAGTGTGCTTGCAGCCAGTTCATGTTAGGCTCCCAACTGCCTTTGCTCCTCAATGACATTTGCTTTCTTCAGAAAAAGTTAAAAGTGCAACAGCTCTGAAACTTACCCAGTAAACTGAATATGATGGGTGGGAAGCTCCCGTGTAAACAAAATATCTGTCTGCCCAATCTCTGTCTCATGAACAGCCATAAAAATGATGTATTCCCAGGGAGTGGTACCTGTCTACAGAACAGGTTCCAAAGTACTCTCAGAAGGTTTCCTCCTGCTTCCTGGTGTGGGGAAGGGAGATCCTCACCATGGGGGAAAGTTGGTGCAAGGTCTTTTGCTGCTGGAGGTGAAGGACAAGACGGACACTCCTCTGCTCCCATTCTTCGCTGATGTGCAGAAGCCAGCCAGCTGGCTGCAAAGGGCTTCAGCACATGGGACAGGTGACCGAGGGCCGGAAGAAGCGAAAGCCAGGCCATGCGACATGCAAGGCACCATCCCGCGGTACCTCAGGGCCACTCCCGTTCCGCCAGCAGCTCTCTGTGCCGAATGTGGCGGTAGGGAACATATGGCCAGCAGCCCAAACCTGGCCTGACTGGTTTTTTCCCCAAGGCCTCACCCCTTTCCTCAACCGTTGCTCCTCCTCTCGGGGCCCTTCGATTCTCTGCCTTCCTTGCCACTCCTAGCAATCGTCCCTGGTGGTTCTGGGTTTCTCGCAGCGCCTGGCCAGTCTGGAAGTGTTCGATTTGAATTAACCACTCTCAGCTGTGAGTCCGGCAAGAGCTTCCCTGGTGCCCTTCTCCCTTCACCTGAGACAAAGACGTCCTGCTTGGTCGTGTTGAGGCTAAAAATCTCCAATCGGTAAGGGAAAGGGACGGCCTGCCAGCCCGCATTGCAAGCAGCAAAATTATTCAGGCAGGGCAGCTGACCGCTTCTTTGGGAGCAGGGCTTGCAAGTCCAGGTGCAGCACTGAAGCGACCCATGGAAGAAGTCTTCTTCTGGGGGTTCCTTGGGTGCAGCTGTCTTTGGGTGCATGTTGGAGGGAAGGAGAAAAGGAACAGATGAGTGTGTTACCTGTGTCTGCCCACCTTTATGCGCCTTTGCACACCTGACTGTTGTATGGCGCGATTTTACAGACGAGACCAGAGACTGGTTGGAATTACCGAGAGGGATTTATTTACCTGCCGGCAGGGACCATGCACTCGTGAGAGTGTGGTGCTGAGCAGATCGAAGGCAGGATTTTTATACTCTTTTACACGGACGGCTATGCAGGTGCTTGAATGACAGCGAACAATAGGGGAAATCCACTGAGCTACATTCGCACACAGTTTTTTATGCTAAAGCAAGCAAGCGAGTGTACAGGGCGTGACGTTATGCTGGAGCGTGGCAACAAAGGCTGCTTTGTGGTCAGCCTTGCGTAGCCTGCACATTCGTTGGGGCTCTTGTTCTTACACGAACAGGACACTCTGATCATGCTTCTTACCTGTGACGAGCCATGCCCTAGCTGCATGTTCGATGAAGAGGGGGGTTACAACACTGACACCCAGCTCCTGGAAGGTTATCTGCAAGGGGTCATAGCCCCTGGGCCAGAAAAGGTTCTTCATTGCTGGTCTCATGAAGAAGTCCAGCCTGAACTTGATAAGGAGGTCTCATGAGAAGCCACCATGGTGAGGATGGGCACAAGAAGAGGTGGGGAGTGAGGGTCCAGATGGGCTCAATCCACTGAAAGCCCAACCTTTTGGGTGAGGACGGTCAGGACACTGAAGAACAACAAAAGGGGACACACCCTGTTCTGGCTGGAAGAGGCTTGGCAGCAGCTCCTCTTTGGCTTCCTTCTATGTTGGGCTTCAGGTTGTATCCATTACCACCGAGCTGAAAAGTGGCTGTTATGTGGACTCTAATATCTCTGCTTTTTGGGGGTGCAATGAGTCCCCACTTTCTGTTTTGTTTTGTCTGTAAATTAGTTCTGCAAGCAGTGGGACATTCCAGAAGCAGTTCTATGGTTACTGGGACAGAAGTAAGTCCTGCAAAGCCAGCAAAATCCTGGGAGTTATGAGCTCTTTTTTCTGGCTAAACATGCACAGAGTGCTTGTCATGATGAGTAAAATACTCATGGGGAAACCTTCCAGTGGGTGCAGTGCTGTGGCCTCCCTACATCATTTGGGAGGCCATGGGGGGAATTTCACTGGATTTCTCCAGGAGGAGAAGTGCCTCAGGCCTCGCAGGCTGCCTGCATTTCTCAAGGAATGACCTCATGCATTTCCTAGGCATTATTTGAAGTTGGGAAGCTGAAGAGTCCACCAGTTATTGTACCAGGAAGACCGAAAGCACACACCTGTTCTTCAGCAGCCCCCACTGAAAGTAAGGCAAGCACAAGAATACTGAACCCAGCCCAGGGTTCTTTCAAAGGAAAAGTTATTTCCTGTGAATTGATTCTCAAAAACAATTTCCTTTCCCTCAAAGCTGAAGCAGCAGAGTCAGGGGTGGAGTGGAGAAATGTTCAGCACATGTGCCCTATGTGTCATGTGTGATGTCTTTTACTCTTGCCTTTCTCAACCTGGAGCCCTTCCGATGTGCTGGACATACCCCGCCCAAACTCACGCATAAGTTTCCAGCATGTGGGCAAGCGTGGTCTAATGAGTCTGTGTGTGCACAAAAATTTGCATAGAGCTGAGAAATGCACTTCTAAATTGCACAACAAAGTACTTGTTTGTTTGTTTGTTCTTCTGACGGAAGAACAAAACTGCTACAGCATCATGCTGAGAGATTTGTCCATGCTGGCTTCTGGTCTCTACCCACCCCCATAGTTCCTGGTTTTCCCTAACCTTGGTTTAACAAGGGTTTCCCTAACCTGGTTTAACAAGAATGAAAATATAGTTGCCCGCCCATCAGCATGAGTCTGATTGTGGCTGGGCTTCCGCCATGCCCAGTGCAAGGCATGTGGCTGAACAGCAGGATGCATGCACTGGAGCGCATCCTGTTGCTAAGCCATTGCTGGTTGTGTGGAAGGACAGGCACCTTTCCCGGCAGGCCCCCTCCAGGGGATGTTCAGAGGATGCCACTGGGGAAGTGGCCCTTCTCCACTCCGTTGTGAAACATTTTCCCCTGGGGGGTCTGCTGGGCACCAGCGCTGTCGCCCTTTTAGTACCAGGCCAAAACCTTTTCTGTATTCCCCAGGCATTGGACATGAGAAGGCTTTTCTAACAGGTCATGGCATTTTTGTCAGGTTTTGCTGATTGCTTAAAACTGCTCTCTTTGTGAACATTGCTAGGCTGTGCTTTTAGAATTATAACTTTTGAAGTCACCCAGACGGCACTGGCTGTCGGATGGCTCTGGAATCACGAAGGAGCAATTTTAGCAGGTGCTGTCGGCACAGCCCTCCTCTTTGGCAAGACAGTCCCAAGTTCTCCTGCACGGGCACCGTCCCTCAGGGCACAGCTCCAGCATCCACCCTCGGCTTCCACCCTCCCAGCGAGGGAGCGGCTGCCACCTCCCAAGGCAGTCCCTCCACTGCTGAACCCCCATCCTTGTTAGGAAGCTTCTCCTAATGTCCCCTGAAATCCATTTCCCAGTGGGTCCTAGTCCTGCCCATCTGAGCAACATTGCCAGCAACATTACCTTCCACCTTGTGCACAATGCCTGCCCAGGGGTTGGTGGCCACGCTTCCGTTGCCTCTCCTGAATCTTTCCTTCTCCAGGTTAAGCACACCTGGAGGGACAGGTCTGTCCGTGTGGGTTCCATGCATTTCTGCTTTCCCCAGCCTTAAACTTGTTTCATCCTGGGGTGAAATAAGTTATCATCAGCATCATCCTGTTTCCATGCCAAATGTTTTCACTGAAAATGTCTGCATTTTGCATGCTGTTTTTTTATCATCAAAGCAGTTTTTCCATACCATTTACCCTTAATATTTATGGGCTTCCATACATTGTTTTCATGTCAATGTGCATTTTTGTGCATGCTTCAATGTGCATATTTTTTTAAAAAAGTAATGAAATAAAAATGGGAGAACAGCACTGTAAAATTCAGAAAACTATGACTCTCAAAACACGACTACATTTTAGTTCACAGAACAGTTTGCAAAAGTGCGAGTTGAGCATGTTTGCAGTAAAAATGCACTGAGAACTTATGTCTCTTCCATCCCTAATTTGGTGGCTCCCATGATCAGCGGACCCATTTGTTTGTCTGAATGTGCCCTGTCGTGTTCTAAACACTTCCTGCTGAGCTGTAGCCAGGAGCTTTACATTTACCACTCCAGCTGCTGCGACTGATGCCACGTACGGGAAATGTGGGGCTAAGCCCTCATTGCGGGACTGGCCAAAATGGTGGTGAGAGGCGCTTGCTTTGATGCCGTGTCTGGGTAGTCTGTATTCCTCATTTCTCTGAGTGAGTTTGCACGAAGAACCTCATTTTCCAGTGATGCAGTGCTGTCTCTTTGTGCTCTGCCCCTTTCTCCTCAGCCACAACATGGATCCCAAAAAACAAATGCCAAAGGCTCCAGGGAAACTTCCATTCATTCTCCTCCTTGTAGCCATCGGCGCCATCTCCTTTACCTACGTTCGAATCACCTCCAGGACAGACTCCTCATTCTCAACTGCTCCCATGCCAGCCCCACGGAACCTCCCTTGGGACCAGTCCGGAGCCCCCAAAGGCTCCTCCGGCCTCACCATTCTCCTGTGGACCTGGCCATACGGCATCCGCGTGGCCATAGAGAACTGCACCGAGGTCCTCGGCGTTGCCGACTGCTTCTTCACAGCTGACCGCAAATGGTACCCCAAGGCTGACGCGGTGCTAGTCCACCATTACGATGTTTACCGGAACGCTGCCAAGCTCCCCCAGGACCCACGGCCACCCTCCCAGCGCTGGATCTGGTACAGCCCGGAGCCACCGAGCAAACACCCTGTCCCCACTTTCATGGACAACCTCTTCAACCTCACCATGTCCTACAGGAGAGACTCGGACATCTTTGCACCGTATGGATGGCTAGAAGCCCTCGACCAGCTGCAAGAGGTCATCATCCCACCCAAGTCCAAGCTGGTGGCCTGGGTGGTGAGCAACTGGAAGCCCAGCTATGTTCAGCCTCGGATAAAATACTACGAGGAGCTGAAGAAGCACATCAGTGTGGATGTTTATGGACGTGGCCACCAGCCATTGCCAGGAAACAAACTCCTGTCCACATTATCCCAGTACAAGTTCTACCTGGCCTTTGAGAATTCGCAGCACGAAGACTACATCACTGAGAAGGTCTGGAGGAACGCCCTGCTCTCTGGGACGGTGCCTGTGGTCCTGGGGCCATCACGGAAGAGCTACGAGCGTTGCCTGCCCCCGGACTCGTTCATTCACATTGACGATTTCCCTGGCCCTCAGGAACTGGCCGGTTTCTTGCACGAGCTGGACGGGAACACTACACGATACGCAAGCTACTTCCAGTGGCGGTCCTGGCTGAAACCTGTGCACTACAAGTCCTGGGGCTACCAGTTCTGCAAAGCCTGCCGGGCCTTGCAAGAACTGCCCCCCATGTACCGGGCTGTGCCAGAGCTGAGCAAATGGTTCAGGTGAGGGGCTCTGGACTACCTGCTTCTGCCGGCTCACCTGTCCCAGTCCAGCTCTTAGTTGAGGATGGGTTGAGTGCCCAGCTCTGGGAAAGAAGGGGACTCAATTTCACAGCTTCTCTTGATGTGTCTTCTTCCATGCAGCTTTCATGTTAATTAAGTCAGCCACATTAATACCCTGAACAGATGCCCCCAGGAAAGGGGTTGCAGCAAAGCTTAATATTTGATATGCACCGCTTAGATAATTGTTTACAGATCAATCTCTAAATAGTTTCCATGCAAGCTCAGTTGTTTAAAGAACATGCCAGATGTCTGTGCCCAGAAGGCAGGAGGGAGGGATGAGGGTCTCGTCCTCGGTGGCTTGGTGCTTCTCACTCATTCCTCCCCCAGTGTGAGCAAAAGGACAGGCATTAATTACCTGCCAAAGGGCCAGTGTAAACTTGTCCCTGCGCAGTTGGCTGGGACCACCAAGGGTGGGCCTCTCTTATCCTGCCATAGCACACTCCTGATCTGCCACAATTATACCACCCTCCCATCTGATGCAGACGTTTCCTTTGCCCCGAGATGGACTCTTTCCAGGGTCTCCAGTCTCCCTTGAGGGTGGACCTCTCGCTCCATTCCCAAAGGGAGTTAATCCAAGCATTCACAATGTGCCCTGTCTCAGGATTTGGAAAAACAGTACAGGGTGGGCAGATCCCATTAGCTGTAGGAACACAGCCTTAGATTACTATGGGACAAAACCTGCCTCAGGAGTCACAAACTGGATTGGGGGACAAGATGCACGAGTGTTCCTTGGGGACTGTGACTGGCACCCAGCGCCCCAGCCACGCACAGATCCAGGGCCCTAAGGGGCTGCCTTCTGCCACCTCCACTAGCGTGGGCCTTGTCCTGAGCAGGCATCCACAGGGCGCAGCTGCGGCGCGCATCCTGACTGCCTGCAAATGATACCCAAGTCCTTTGCGGCTCTGTGCCTGCAGGTGGCCTGTTGTCGGGACAATTTTCCAAGCTCACGTCATTCCGGCAGGAGCCCCCGCACTCTCTCCCCCGGTATCTCCAGGAGGAGCTCCCACCACTTCCCCCAGTTCTCTTCCAACCACTGTTGCCATTTCCTCTTGCGGTTCTCAACCTTTGTATCCCCTTTCTTTGATTTTTGTATCTATTTCTTTAATTCATACTCTCACGCTCTTCATTCTCGAACTCTCTTCAAAACCTCCACTTTATCCCTTGTGATACTCTTCCCCCCAAGCCCCTCCCATTGCCGTCACTTTTCTGATTCTTCACCTTGCTTCTTTTTCTGTTTTTCTCCTCCTGATGGTGCTCAGAGTGCTGGCCAGGGAGTGCCCCTGTTGCAGGAACTGCCTGTCCCCCATGGGCCAGCCACTCATACTGCCTCTTCTGCCCAGGAGAGGGGCCGCAGGGAGGACCCCTGTGCACACTGCCGGGCAGGCCTGGGAAAGCCAAGCATGCCGGCTTCCGTCCCAGCTGGAGCCGCACCCTTTGGCTGTCGACTGGGCCGTGGCGGTGCTGGCACAACGCCAGTCCGCCTCGCAGGCAGCTCTGCCTTCTGCCCTCCAGCAGCAGCTGCCCAGGCTCCACCGGCCGGCCTGTCCATGCTGCAAACACCGGGGCACGTGGGCAGTAAAGGATGCTGAGTGTGCCAAGAAGGCCAGGAAAGAAGGATCAGCCCAGCGAATGGCTGAGCTGCCGTGCTCCACCGGTGCCATCCGTGCCTGCGCCAGCAGCAGTTCCTGCGCCACCTCGACTGGTCCCGGTTCCAGAGCCGGCGGTGGCCCAGTCCATCTCTGAAGGAGAGGCCTGGGATCCCGAACTCCGGTCCTGCTGCTCTTCCCACACTGGGGGCAACTGCCATGGATGCCACCAGTGGGCCAGGTCACCACGCTCTGTAGCCTGGAGCTGCCTGCTCTCCCATGCTGTCTCGTGCCTCCAGCCATGGGCTGAGGGCGGGATCCAGGCCTCCACTGTCAAGCTGGGGCTGGGAAGCCCACGATGCCACCTCTGTGGCTGTCCGGGGGAAGAGGCCCCACAGACCCCCATTGCCTGAGTGGGGGCTCCATTTCTGCCCAGAGCAGCCTCACGCTCCAGCCTCTCCACCTCACTTGGAAGGCTGCCCTGGCTCAGACCTGCCCCCTCGCCTCCTGCTGGCATCATTCAGTGCAGGAGCCTGGGTCTGCCTCCAAAGAAGATCCTCCAGACAGGGGCAGGCTCTGATGGGAGACACCACAGCTCTCCTGACAAACAGTGAGAGCCGACTGTTGGGCAGCCCTGCGACTGAACACCTGGGAAAGTGGAACACTTAAGCCACCTTGACCCACACCAGGTGTCCACCTGTCAGAGCTTCAGCTTCCACCATGTGTTGCACTGAAGAAGCTGGAAGGCAGCCTCCATGAAAGCATACCTGGTGGTGACCTCGTGGTCCCACGGGATGGTCAGTGTCCTCAGGCTTCACGAGAGGTCTGCACCCCTGTTCATGCATGCTGGGATGGGGCCTGCCAGTGGTCCCACAGGCACTCACAAAGCCCCCCTTGAGCCTCCAGTCAGCATGGACTTGGGTCTCCTCTCATAGAAGGTTGCCCTTCTGGTGCACAGGAGGGTGCACTTTGTGCATTGATTCACCATTCCTCCCTTTCCAGAGGGACAAGCCCAGCCAGACATTCCTCCTGAAGGCTGCATCGCAGTTCCACTTGATCCAGGACATCGTTTTGCCAGCGCTCTCCCAGTGCCCAGTGGAGTCAGCCTTGCACGCACTCAGTGTGCATGGGGTGTTGGCCTTCTATCGGTTCCTTTAGCCAGTCCCAGAGACTCTTTGTGGCATGTGGTGAATTAGATTACTCAAACGGGATTGCTAAGACCATCAAGCTGGACTCCCCGCTGCCCAGACTGCAGCTCCCTGAGCAACGGAGGGCGCATTCGGCCCGGGGGATGGCAACATCTGCAGCATTGCATGCTGGCATCCCGTTGCGCGATCTCTGCAGAGCAGTCGCTGTGATTCACCCCATCGATCTCCAGCCAGCAGCACCAGGAAGGACCGATCCTTCAGCCAAGTGGTCCTCTCGGTGATTCTGCACTGATGATGCCTCCTACCTGTCTTGAGGGAAGCTCGCTAGTCACCCACATGCGTGACGCACAGAGCCCATGAAGAAGAAAGTCAAGTTGCTTACTCGACTGGCATCCTCTGAGTGGCCACCTGTGCATTCACAAAACCACATGTTGGAGTAGACAGCTTTGTTACTATTGCTTTCCGTTCAGATTTGTTCAGGCCATTTACCAGCCTTTCCCCACAGTTCTGAGGTCACAACATCAGTCTCGGGAGAACTGCAGAAAATGCCTGGAGCTCCTCCTAGATGTACCAGGGGAAGCGGCAAGTTGAGCTCGGAGAATCTTTCTGACAAGAGGCACAGAGCCTGTACGTGCGAATGCACAGAGGAAAGCGTGCCAGTTACAGGGGAGCAGCGTGACTGGCCCTGTGCCCCCACTGTTCCACTCCTCTGGCAGGACTGGGGTGCAGCCCAAAATGGTTTCAGCTGCTCTGGACTGGTGAGTGAGGAACGATGGGCACACAGCAGGACTCGGAGCCAGTGCACGCCCTCAGGGGATCTCAGCCAGAAGTCTGATTCGCGGTTTATTGCAAGGGTCGCAGCAGAACAAGGGCCTGGCAAGGGCTGATTTGGTGCCTCTGTCCTTTGCAAAGGGCATCCGTTTGTGTGCAAATTTGCCTATGCATGAAATGAAAAATTAATTAAAGAGTTTAGGTGGCAAGCACTGTCTTAGGACGGCATTTCTCTTTTGTGCAGGTGAGTGAAGGAGGAAGGGAAGCTTGGCATATTTAGGCACCTGGAAGACCGAGCACATTCGTGGATGGAGGATTCAAAGCTTCGGAAGGGGTGTTGGGGTCACCTAGTTCCCACCCTGCTCAGTGTGGGATCTGCGCCCATGAGAGATGGCTGCCCACACCCACTTCAAGTCCTCCAGTGAGGGACACGTTCTCTTCAGGGTCAGCGGAAACCTTCCTCCCAGCAATTTCCACAAGTCGATTCTGGTCCTGCCCTCGGAGACACAAAGAGCACCTTTGCTGGCTCCTCTGTGCGGCGGCCTTTCTGATATAAGAAAACCCTCTCCCCATTGGCTTCTCCTCTGCAAGCTCACCCGACTAAGCAATTTCAACCCTTCCTTTTAGGATTTGGTTTCCTGACCCCTCCCCACCTTGGTTGCTCTTCTCTAGACACACTCCAGCTACCTAGAGTCCCCATGTCTGGGAACAGGCAGGATAGAAATACAATGACAACCACCACCAGTAATGTCCTAAGCTGGGGCTCCCAGAACGGGCACAGGACTCCCAGGGTGGCATGGCTGGATAAGACAATCCCATTCACTGGGGCAGCGGCTGCTTTTTGCCAGGGGCATTGACAGACCTGGGGAAGAGGGCACAGCCCACTCTGGATTTATTTCCCAGGGCCCTGATCCGCCCCCCCCCCCCACAACACACACACAGCTCTGCATGTCTGTAGGTGCAAAGGCCATCCTCCTCGGACACTCAACTGGCCTATACAGATCTCGGTCAACCCAGCTGCACCCCGTTTCTGCTCCAACGACAGGGGCTCAAGGAGAAGCAGCAGTGCCTCCACCTCACAAGAGGCGTGAGGCACTCTGTGCCGAGGCCCAGCTCGTGGCTCGCCGCCCAGCGCAGCTCGGCAGTCGCCCTGTGCCAGGCATGCCTCTACCGGCCACACTGCCGGCATTTGCCCACCCGCCCCTCCTTGCCAGGCTTGTGCCCAGACACACAGGAGAAGGTCAACTGCCCCACGGCAGGCACGTCCCACACCTCCTGCCCGCTGCTGCCTCTGCCAACTGGTTTCGGCCTGGCCTGCTGGGCAGGCGGGGAAGAGAGTGGCAGAGCAGGTTTGGAGCCCGAGGCAGGAGGAAAGAACTTGCCCGGATTTTGGTGGGTCAGCCCGAAGGAACGGCAAGGACTGCATTCCAAGGCGAGGAGGGCTCCTGCTCAATCGCACAGGCACTTTGGAAGGGCCTGTGCTAGCCACCCCTCAAGGAGAGCCCCACAGGACTGCA